AGTAATTTGTAAGTGGCCTATGCTCCAGAAACAGTTACTAAGTAATGTGTTAGTGGGTCTAAATTTTAAGGATTGATATTTACTTTGCTTCAATAGATATTGAGGCTCATTCTGAAAATATTCTGATAAAGGTTTTCCTTCATCTTCATTATTTTATGGAATATGATCCTGATTTCATAATACAATTGCAATTTTCTTTCCTTAATTCTCTCTACTTATCTTGAGTTCTTTCAAAGTGCGTGGACAATCACCTTCTTGATCGGCCAAGAATACATTTGCTGAAATTTTGGGCGTTATGACCCCCATTCTTCCTCCTCCTTCAACTCAACTAAAATGACAATACTGCTAACTAAATGAAATACTTCTTCCTAAATAAATAAAAGAACATTGTAAGAATTAATACACAAGCATATAGTGAAAAGAGCATTATATATCCGTTCTCGTGTATCTTGGTTATCCATTTATTTTATCTGCAATTCTGCATACTCGAAAGAAAGGGGTTCTCTTTCATGGGTTGATGAATTATTAGGCAAAGCAAGATTTGAGCCATGAAGTGTCAAGTATTTACTCTCTAAGCATCTAACCTAGTAAAGTCATGAATGATGAATATCATTGCTTTGCTAAGAGACAAGCGCCTCTCATGCCTAAGGTACCTTAGAGTGGGAAATATTCTTAGGTACACCCTTGATATACCTAAAAAGGCATACCTTCACACATAAGAAAAATCACAATGGGTTTGGGCCTAGACTTAAATTTTCTTTTATCATTAACTTAATTATGTGAGATGGCTCACATGATATTCTATGGACCTAAGGCTCATGATAGAGACACACCAGGCACTGAGGCGACACTCTATTGCCAAGTAGAGGTGCAGGATAGGAGAGGAAGGGAAGCGCCTTGGACTCATGGACGCAAGGCGAGGGGTGGCAGAATTCAATGGCTGACAGAAACATCAGTAGCAACGCTTCTGCGTGAACCTTAGCAAGCAGACTAACTTTGTTGCATGGTTATATATACAACAGCAACAGCAACAACAACTTCGTTGAATCCTACGTGCATGGTTATATATAAAGAGGCAAAATGTCAGCAGCAAACTTACATGCCTACACACATTGTAGTAGAATTAGAATCTAGCTTGAGTTCATGATTAAATGAATACACTTGCCTTTTCTATAAGATCAAGAATATCTTGGTTATCAACAAACTCTATATAACTCCAATTAATTTCTTCTCTGGTGTACTCTTCTTGCTCCATTTTGAAGACATGCTGCAAAAGAAAATAACAAACCCAATATCAGATTACTATTTAAGATTTCATCAAATTTTTTTGCGATATAAGGATTTTATGTATGAAAGTACTGCTATGATAGTAAAATATATGTCAGGTACATACCTGGTTGAAATAATGCTGTAACTTTTCATTGGTCAAATTAATGCAAAACTGTTCGAAACTGCATCAAAGAGATTACTTTCATTTGCAGAAAATTAAAACCCTCGGGAGTATTTAAAACTGCACTTGCAAAAAATATTGACTGGTAAGGCTTGTTTACCAAACCTTTATAATGAAAAAGAAAGGAGAATTAATAGCACAAACCATGCCAGCATTGAACTTTGGGTTATGGCTTGATTAATAAACTTTATTGACTTTTATTTTCTTTAAAATTTCCCTCATTGTAGTTTCGTTCTCTGTGAAACTATCTAGTAGCTCATTAAACTAAGAGAAACGATCCAAGATCATAACATAAACCTATCAGAAAAGAAGAAACTAAACAACTGGAGTACTAGTTTCATGGCAATGTACTTTAACAGAACTTTAATACACGCTCTGCAAAAAATGAACCTCTATGTATGATGAAAATAAATTAAAAGCATACCAGCTAAGCACCTGTTTGTCTTGAAACTCTCAAATCCATAAATATCAAGAACCCCGATCAACAACTGAGAATCGGGATCTTGGCCAATAGATTTATTAATCTTTTCAACAAGCCTGAATAAGAAAATATGTAAAATGTGCTACATCTGATACTGACAAGGACTGCAAAACCTAGCAATTTTGGCAACTTACCAATCAAACAGTTTAGAGTAGACAGTTTTTGCCAAAGCATCTCTACTGATAGAAGCAGCTCGGGGATCCAGACATTTTGTTATCTTCTCATCACGAGTTACAATGATACGCTTACATAAAGAATCCTCTAATGACTTCTCATCACACCTAAGCAAAACATAACAAATGATGACCTTTGTGTGCTTGAGAACAGAATACAATCTAAGATATGTTGAGAAACATGCAGAGAGAAACTCACATGAAAAGTTCAGCCACAGTTTTAAGATGGAAGCGAGACTGATCATCCTTAGGTTCTGCAGAATCAGGCTCGCTTCCCTTCACAAATTCAATGTTGCCCAAGTGAAGTATTGCAGCCACAACTCTAAAAATGGCATCCTGCCAATGGATTTATTAATAGCATCTTCACCAGGCCATCCTTTTATAAATAATAGTGTTTTGATTCTAATA